TGACAATAACAAAAATGTTAATAGATCAGATCAGCAATACACAGTACTGCTTATTTTAAAAAAGAAGTTACAATATAATATTGTATAAAAAAACGGCTTAAGTGGTTAATGAAAATTCTGCAGAATGTGCCAGTTTCTTTACCTGTTTAATCGCTAAATCATCAGATTAATTGATTACTGACATAATCACGAGCCCCAATGGACACTAAACCTTATATTCCCATAACATTATTTGTCATAGACAAACAATAAGACAAAACACACACAAGTTAAAGGCAGCCTCACCTCTCCACACAGTCACTTAATCGAGACGCCAGGGACGAGGCCGGAGCGTCGTGACCTCCGATGGCGTACAGGAAACCGTGCCACGTGGCCACTCCCACACCTCCACGCCTTTTAGCCATTGGAGCACAGCTAGTCCACCTGCAGGTAGATTACAAGAACAACACCATTAATGAACCATTCAACCATGAACTCTTTGAGGTTAAAGGCAGGATTCTAGGATTCATGTTGCTGCACATTTGATATGTAGGTAGATAACATTGGAGGAAAACCTGCTTCTTGTGTGGAATAAAGCAGGAGAGGGCAATTCAAGCCTCCCTGACCTGTTTGTGTGAGGGTCGAAGCACTCCACTGATCGCAGGCAGGATGAGCCGTCACGACCTCCAACAGCGTACAGCCTGAGGAAAACAGAGGGCAGAGTAAGCCGTTCTGGACATGCACACACAAAATAGTTCTCGCTTCTCTCCCCTCCTTTTCAGCTTGTGACAGCAAGACAGATGGCAAAAGGTGTGAAGAGTTTTGGAAAAAGGAAAAAAAAAAAATAAAAGAGTTGAGCAAAAAACATTAAGCCAACGCTGTCGGAGCAACACATCTCTAAGTTGTCTGTCATCATAAACCAAAGAGTGTGTGAGAGTGTGCACACACACATACACACGTCCGCGGCTATCAGTGTTGACACTTTGGAGAAGAAGAAAGTGCGACAGAGCCGGTCAACCAAGTAATGAGCTCCATCAGGCAAAAAGCCCAGAGGAAACACATGCATGGCACACTCACCAAAGCACACACAGACGTCCACACTGGCTACTCCGGAGCACGGCTGGCACAAACCTATTTCTGCATTAATTAGCATCTAAAAAGAAAAGCTTCACTGAGGCAGCCAATAATGAAAACAACATGGGTCATCAGGCTCAGAGTGGGGACCGGTTTTGTCGTGGAAGGCCTGATTTTAGTAAATCTTGCTATTAAAACCTGCATGGTCACTCAGCAGTTTCTGAACCTGTGTCAGCAAAACTCTGAAATCAGGAGCAGAAAGCAGAGGTGTTGGCAAATTTGTTCCAAACCAAAGGCACCAGATGATGCTTCTTAATTAGTTGTTTTTTTGTTTTTTTTTACCCCCATGGTTGTAGCATGAACTACTGGCAAGTGACATATGGGCAGCTGCAGTGCTGGACAGAAACACTGAGAAGACGCTGAACTGTAAACAAGTTTGGCAAAACATCTGTTTATGAGAACGGCAAAGACATTGTTTCTCCAACCAAACAATTAATTCAAATCTGGAATGTAACACCAATATAAGATGCTAAAGATATTTAACATTTAAATATCATTTGTGAATGTTTTAAAATTGACTTCTCCGTCACACATATGGTGTGATGTTACCTGAGATCTCAGGACTATAGTATTCCAACATTAATTTTTCTTTTTTTCATATGCAGCCAAGCAAAATAACATAATACAGACACAAAGACTTCACTTACTTTCCATTGAGAACAGCCACTCCCACTGTGCTTCTGGGTGTAGCCATGCTAGCAACAAAACTCCACTGGCGAGCTTGAGGGTCCCACCTTGAATGGAGTGAAAACATATAAATCGATAAGCGTCGAGCTATAATTATAAACATTGTTATAGCTCATTTTAATTACAGCACAATGGGTTATTCTGTAATTGTTAACACTTGTAGGAGTGAGAATAATAGAAGACCTTTCCACTGTGCTGAGGTAGCTCCAGCCGTCATGGCCTCCCACTGCGTACATAGGTCCCTCTAGAACAGCCACACCTGCAGTAACAAGCAGGTGTGAGATCAAACATCTGGATAAACATCTCCAACAAGCTCTTTGACTTCACTCCTTCAGAAAAAGGGCAGTGAATTCAGATTGTGTGGGGGCAACCAAAACTAGGCCAATAGCTGCAGAGGGGTAGCAGCACGCCGACACGTTCAAACTGGGATTAATCCGCCTGAACATCTGTGCTACCAGATGTGTCTGGATCCCCACCTTCGTTTAAACACGGGGACAAGTATAAAATAGGGCTGCAACTAATGATCATTTTAGTAATTGATTATTCTGACAATTAAATTGAATAAAAAAGTGGCGCATTCTGCAAATTTTTTCATTCATACCCTTACAATTTTTTTTCTATAATATTATAAATGCGTTAAAAGATGCAAATAAACATGTAATTCAATTACTTCTTCAAGTAAGAAAATAAACATTTGATTACCTAAAATGCAATGACATGGCTTTCCTTTAGTAAATCTGAACCAGGTGAAGCTAAAAATATGTCACTTGAGGAGTTTTGGCTGACACATATTTACACACAGGTATTTTTATCTTATATGCAAAATGTACATTTTTTGTAGAAATTTTTATTAATTACTGCTGTGAATATGATGAAGGTATTTTTTCAGCAAATGGACATTTTTGAGTCTTTATATTTGAGTTGATTAATCGATTACTAAATTAGTTGACAATTAATTGTTTCAGCCCTGATGTAAAAGCTGCACAGCATTCCTTATGAATGATTCCCCCACCTGAAGACTCAAATGCTGTTTGTATTGTTGCAACAGTGAATTGTTTAATGATTTTTACACAGTGCAGATGTGAAGATCTGGTTGGACAGTGACTTTTGACTTCAGTGTTTCACAAAGCAAGAGAGCCACTTGTACAAACAATGCTCAGTGAAACAAAGGAAATGGATACGAATAAAGACTGAAAGACCCTTTTGACTGTGACCTCACCAAGGCCGTGTCTGTGTGTGGACATGGGAGGCATGACGCTCCAGGTTTTGCTATGTGGATTGTAGCACTCCACGGTGTTGAGGGTCTTGAGTCCGTCTCGGCCTCCCACCACGTAGAGACGGCCGTCGAGGACAGCGACGCCGAACTGCAGCCTCCGTCCGCTCATGGTGGCGACCTGTCTCCACGTGTCCCGACGCAGACAGTACTGTTCGATACTTGTGGCACCTGAGAAAACAAACACACACACACACAAATCAGAGGAAGAAGCTTCCTTGAAATGAAGATTTCTACTGTTTTACATTATTTATTCACATGTGACTAGTGAAATCTGTTTTTATTATTACTTTAAAGGTTGGGGCTTTTCTAGTAGCTTAATGTCGGCCAGCTTTATTCATGTCACAGCAAGTTTTGATGTGTGCTGGGATCATTGCTTTCTTGGAAAACCCAACTGTGTCCAAGTTTTACCGAGTGATTTAAAGTCAAAGTGAAACATTTTCATTTTTCTACTTTGTGCATTGCATTAGTACCGCTGGCAGCACCACTACGCTTTATAGTTGGCTGGACGTTTTGAGGTTTGAAAGTATTAACTTCACAACTCCAAACACATTTCAGGTCAATGTGAACATAGACCTTATTATACAACTTCATCAAACTTTTCTCCAGAAGATATTTGGCTGAAAATATTTTGCAACTGTAAATTTCAATGATGCTTGATGGTGTAAAATTACATTTGAGCTTGTATGCAGAGATTTCTAGCCTAAAATGTAGATCCTATTTATTTTGATGGCAACTAAATGTCAAGTTCCTACCAGAGTTGTCTATGGAGACCAATGCAATCTGTTAGCTGCACAATCATCCGCTTCAGAAGAGCACATTTCTTCTTAAATACACCACGTTCTAACCAGATTTAATTTACAACCAGCTGTGATGGATATAAGTTTAGCTTTTTGTATTTTATGGTGGTTTGGATTTGGTCCAGAGTTGCTTGTTTTGTAGGTCGTAATGCTTCCTTCATGGAAACAGAGCAGAGATTCATCACCTCAGCATTGTGCAACTTTGTATTTGTGAGTGATTGCTCTACCTTTGGAGGCGTCCATCCCACCCACAGCAAACATGGCCCCCACCGTGGCCTTCCGGGGCCGCGTGCGAGGACTCTGCAGCAGGGGCCGGCGCTGCGGCAGCAGGTGATACTTCATCCCCTCCATCAGGAGACGCTGACACTCCACGCTGTCACGGAGGAGAGGGTTGGACTCCAGGTCAGCCAAGAACTGAACATGTGGGAGGAACAAATGCACACATCAACACACAGTATCATGTAACAGATACTGAGGAAACACGTGCAAGGGGGGGACGTAAGGTCGTGTTGGTTTTCATGTTCTCACTGACTGAGGAGGTTTGGGGAGCTAAAGAAAGCTGTCCTCCCATTGATTGGGAGATTAGGAGAAACTATCAGCGGCTGCAGCTCTCTGACAAACACACAGATCATCTGACACACATGAGCACTAATCTGTTCTCAGCAACTCATCAGTTCTGCAGTCAATACCCTCATCACACACAAACAGCTAGGGGCAGCAGCTCGAAGCCCTACAATCCACCAGGCGCTTTCACAAAATACATCCAGAGGAAATGACTTCCTGTAGAAGCAGGATGGAGAGATTCAGGTTCTCCCTGAAGGAAACTATTGAATGATTTACATTTAGATAGGTGTGTGTTTGTGTGTGTGTGTGTGTAATACTAATTTATGTTTATGCACAGTTCTTTGTGAAAATACTTATATTCTTTGAGATTTTTCCCGATTATAACCATCAGCTGCTGCAATATATTTTATTTCAACTTATGTGACCTACTAAAATAAACTATTACAAAGATGTAACGTAAGATTTTCTTAAATCCTTCAGTGTGGCATGGATTTGTTGGAGAACACAACTAGCTGCAAGTAATGTCTCTACCAGCCCAGAAAATATAGAGAAAAATGTTTCATTCTGTTGTGAAAAATCAATTTATTACATGAAAAAAGCTTCTAACACTTATTATTACATGCAAATTTAAAACACAAGTTGATTATTATTTTAAGCCAGAGAATGTCCAAGGAGCCACTAAAGGCCCTGGAGCTGATATAAACCATTCTGCCTCTTTTGTCACCCCCAACAGGTTTTTCCTCTTGTTAGCGCCATTCAATTTCTCATCAACAGTGACCAGTTTCTCTGTTCCTGGTAAAGAAAAGCATCCCCTCAGCATGAGGCTGCCACCACCATGTATCACAGTAGGAATAATGTTTTCCACTTTCTTCAAACGGTTTTTTATATGATAGCCACAAATTTCTATTTAATTTGATCAGATCTTCCGCATGTTTACTCTGCTCTACACTTCTGGATTTTCTCCCTGATATTTCTGCGGTTTTCAAGTCTTCATGATGCTGTTTGTTCACTAATGTTTTCTAACAAACCTTGACTGAACAGCTGGAGAATGCATAGATTAAAATACACACAAAAGGACAAATAACTACTAATTATGTGATTTCTGATGTTAACTGTTAGGCATGGATTTAATTTAGGGGTATCAACGTTTAGCACAGTATAAATATACACCACACTACCCACCATGAGTCATTTTCCTTTGTACTGATGGAATACAAAGTCCATCAAAAACTTTGCATTCACATTACGAATACAAAGTTTGTATTCATAATGTGACAAAATGTGGAAAAAGTCCACGGGGTATGAATAATATCCCCAAGAGGCACTGTATGTGATCAAGATTTTTCCTGCAGCGTGTGCTTTCCTCCTTCATATCTATGCACAGAGAAGAACAGGCTCGCCCCACGTAAATAAACTTGATCACTGAATAGGAAATTTAATTTCACAGCTAGAAGTGTAGAAGCGCAAAACAAGCATGGTAAATGGATAAGCAGCTTACACGGCAGGGTCAAACCATGCTTCAGCTGCACACAATCACAGAGCGACAAATTACAGTCAGCCCTATTTACTCATCCATCTGTGTGTGTGTGTGTGTGTGTGTGTGTGTGTGTGTGCCTCAGAAGGACAGATATAGAAAAACATGTTTGTCCTTCTCTCTGGTCATTTATCCATCATGCTGTGAAGGATTGAATGTGGAGGGCGAGATAAGACCGAATCCCGCCGGCGTCCCACCTTCTCCTCCGTGGCGTTTCTCTACCTCACAGTGTGCAGAGCGAAAAGCTGCGTTGTCCTCCAAAGCGGCTTCCGCATGTAGGAGGCAGAGTGGGCGCCATACACTCAAAACAAGCGCACTCGAGCACTAATGCGCAGAGAAACACACATCCCGCAGCTGTGTGCAGTTTTCATGCTTTAGGAGTCTCCAATCTTTCACCCCAGTCTTGCTTTACAGAAAAAAAAATAAAAGTCGAAATGAAATCATCCTCAACCTTTGTAATCAGAAGCTGAACATGTTGTTAGGAGGAAGGTGGAAGTGTATTTTTTAAATTAGGAATCCAACATTGAACTACAGGGATACATCAATGCTTCCCAGACTTAAGAAATCTGGTCTGAAGCTGCACAATATATTGAAAATATATTGACATCACAATATCAGAACATAAGTAAGTGAAATATTTATGTTGCTAAGGACTGTTTGGAGCGCAATAATTGTTAATTGATAAAACCCAAGTTATGTTAACTTGCATTTTACATGCTTATGTAATTTTTTAGTCAGTTGGACAGAGTCTCTCACCGGTACTGGACGCAAAAGATTTTGCTCAAAATGCTGAAGGTCACAGATTGATGGAAGCGCTGATGAGAACAAGAGGAAATAAGAAACAGCTATAATTTTCACGAGATTTTCTAATATACAGCCCAAGTCTCCATAGCAAAGATGTGAACTGAATGTTTTCTGAGGCAAGCATCCTACCATCACAAATGTAAAACAGTGACGTTTGCTAAACTACTGTAATTTTATGTGAAACCAAGTGCTTTGGTCAGATGAGACCAAAAATAAGATTTTTGCAACAACACTCTGGACGGGTCCAGGATGAAATGATAATAAAATGAAAACACATGATTACTATTAAGCATTTATGATGCCGCCCAGAACATTTGCTGTTGAAGCATCTCTCTTGATAATCCAGCCACGTGAAATATATAAACTTGTACAACTTGTAGTGCTGTCCTACTGGCACGAGGAGGCTAGCATGAGCATTGCCAGAAAGGAGGTGGTTTGTGATTTTCTTTTAAATCTACAGTAGGAAGTGATGATTTGCTAATAAAAATCAACATATTTTAAGAGATTTTAAACATTCTTACTAGGGCTGACTACAGTAGTGGTACATCTGTCCTGCTTTCCCCAAACATAACGGCTTGTTTTTGTAGCATGTTCTGGAGCAACCGCTCTGCTTTTGGATTTTTTGTGAGCAGTCTCGCAAAAAAAAAAAAAAAAAAAGACAAAAATCACACCAACTGTCGCACAACAGTTTGGAGCACCAAGCCACAGATGGTTGCCTGAGAAGATTAGATCTAGAGTGTGTCTCTGCGTGCGTGTGTGTGCGTGTGTGACAGAGGTAAAGGGGAGCAGAGATCAGAGGTATTAATCCAAGGAATTGACACCGTCTAGACGAGTAATCAAGTGGTAGCCCAGATAGAAAGCTGAATAATTGGTTGATGAGTATCGATCAGGTAGCCTGCGTGAGTTTATATGTCATTTTATTGGCATTTCACAGCTCATGGGGTTGCTGAATGTTAATGCGGTTATCGGTTTGAAATGGCGCTGGCAGAGGGAGTGGCTGTTCGACGTGATGAAGTGCAGAAGGCAGAATGAGCCTGGGGCTCTGTGTCCCTCTTTCTGCTCCAGGACCATTTTGCCACTTTACCCCTTTGCCATCAATCTTCTCCCCTGATAACATGTTACTGCTACTTGTGGGTTTAGCTGAGGGGGGCAAAGTCATCCATCTAATGCACTCATTCATTATACTTCACTTCAGGTGAAAAGCAGCTGGATGTAAGAGAAGAGGCAGCTCTGATGAAAAAAAACAAAAAAACAAAAAAACTGTCCAGTATAAAATCTAAGCTTCATCTGCAGTCTTCATACCAACTGATCTTTTCCACATTTTGTTGCATTACAACCACAAACTCTAATGTATTTCATTGTGATTTTATGAATTGATCAATACAAGGGTGTGCCTAATTGCAAAGTTAAAGGAAACCAATATGTGGCAGATCTACGATAGAACAGCTTAGATCAAAACATGTTATTGTGTTTGTTGGGTTCAGGTTTAAACTGACTGGGCCATAGTAAAAATAACTTGAAAAACCTGGAAATGTTAGTTCAAAGACACCATTTTCCAAAAAATAATTGGCAAAATTTAAATCTCTAGATGTGGAAAGTTGTTAAAGTGAAATAACTCAAATGACCTGCAGCTATGGTTACAGCCAGGTGTGAACTCTGAGAGGCTAAATAAAATTACATTTACGTATTTCTTGGTACCGGCTTGAAAAACCCCAATAACATTCATTAAAGTTTGCAGTTGTAGGTGAACAAATTTAAGGGGTATGAACACTTTTGCAAGTATTTCTTCATTATACAGTGAAGAAAAGATGGTTAGAGGAGAGGAAGAGAAATAATTTTTTTGGCTGCATTTTGAGTGATATCAGGATTAATTACGTTTAAAGCAGCTACAGCCTCAGGCAGTGAGTGAAGTTCTGCTGAGAATTTCAAGCATCAGTCTCTGCAACAAGAAAAAAACAGCAAGGACAGACTAAAAACTAAGCGCATTTTCACCCACTGGACAAACAAATAGAATCAATCTATAGCAGACATAATTGTTATTGTCCCTCTAACTGTCTGAAGAGGTTAGTGAGATGGGTTGAGAGTGAGGCCATTTGTAAGCAAGAGGAGGTAATGAAAGGGGAGAAGGAAACAAATCTGGTCGCAGAAAACATCCTGCAGGTCAGAAGTAAAACCAATTAATTCCTGTTTAATGCATGCAAACACGCAGTGCAACCCAAAGAGAATAAAAATGGCCACAAAAAAGGCTCTAGTTTCACAGAATATTTCCTAATCATAGATTAGGATCTGATGTATTTCAGTGGAAACTGAAAATCTATTCAATTACAGACTAGAAACATCCTGCAAGAACATTTCCAAGATCATGTATGAATCAATCATCTCATAAAAGCCCCTGATTAAATACTGACCGTAACCTAATGAGACATTTCTTGATACATGTAGCCGATATGGATTTGAAAGCAGGAACTAAGACAAAATAATAATTTATAGAAAAGCTAAATTAGTGTGCATTTCACTGCAGCTGCTTCACACAGTTTTACCTTAGACTACTGTATAACAAGTGAGGAGGAACTCTTTGCAGCTCTAACCTGTGGCTGCAGCAGCGGCAGTCTGACGTGAGCCAGAAGCGACGGTAGGTGGCGCTGCCGAGTGGCGGGATCGTGACTGACCCAACTCAGCAAAGAGGTCACCACGGTTTCCTCGTCTGGCACGTTGATGTCATCAGAGGTCAGCAGCCTTTCCATCTCTTCCACTGGAAGGACGAGAAACTCCTGGGCTCCCACGACCTCCAGAAAGTGCTCCTGATGGACGAAGACACAGTCAAGAAGGAAGTGAGTGATAAAATACTGAAGGTTCCCACTGTCTATGCGAGTAAACCACAAAGACAATAAAGAAAAATAAAAAACATTTTTAGCTTTAGACTGAACCTTAACTTTACTCCTAACCAAAACATACACAAAAAGTGAGTTTAAAGGCACAAAAGAATCAGAAGAAAAGAAAGAGAATAATCAGGACAGGGAAGGTGATTTTTCACAGTCACCATAGCAACTATGAGCTGAAAAACATCTTTTGTGGCAATAATGGCCTGATGCATTGTGAAGTAGAAGCTAATTTGCTATCAGGAGCAAAATTTCACAGAGGACGGCTGCTCAGATGTAAGAGGCACAGCTGTGTGAAACCTAGTGAGCTTCATTATTTTCATTTAAGGTCATCCTTTGTCATTCTGAGAGCAGAATCGTTCCCAGTCAGTCTGTTCATTCATGTCTTGCCATCAATTCACCGACTGTGGAGCTACACAGACCATATGCGCCAAGCAGCTCTGCACCCACCATGGTGTAGGCGTGAGCGGCTCTCTGCAGGTCATGGCAGCCCTGGGCGTCGGCATAGGAACGGATGCCGAGACAATTAGAGGGGTGGAGCTGCTTGACGAGGAAGGAGCAGCAAGCTTGGACCACCGACGATAACTGCAGCAGGCAGGAGGCCGACAGCAAAGACTCGATGGTGTCCTCCTTCAGCTCGAGACGGCCTACAAGACACTTTTACTGATTAAAGCTGGGAAGTTTCCTAAGAAGTTCATTTTGTAATGACAGGTTAAAAATAGGGCAGATCAACTCTTTTGCACCAGATCAAATTTTTATCATTTTTTTCTTGCTTTCTTTTCTAAAAAAATAAATAAATAAAAAATACAAATGACAGAAATGTTTCCAAAGTTTGCCTTTTATTTCAATCACTTCGGTGAGTTGTACGCCGGAATATTAGGGGTAGGCTATTTAACTAGAGGGAAAATTGTCATAATATTAACAGAATTAAGATGCAATTTTACCAGAATAAAAAAATTACAAGACAAAAGTTGTTTTAACAAGAATAAATTCAAAAATCAAGCGAGTTATCAAGATCTAAAGTGTGGTTCTTCCTTCAAAATAGACAGTTGTTTTTTTATGATGGTTTCAAAGCATTGTTAGTGATAAGTATCTGCAAAACGTACATCAAAGTATAACTTCGCCAGACATTTTAATTTTTTGTTATTTTTTGTGTTGGAGTTCTTATAAAATTGCTTCCAATTTCTCCTAATATTCCAACTTTATTCTTGTAATTTAAAAGAAAATATCTTAGCCTAGCCCTCGTTCTTGCTGTAGAGTTGATTTGAATTCAAAGTCCAAATAAATGGATGATGTGACTCACGCTTGTCAAACAAGATGGCAAAAAAAATTGATTAATCCGTAAAATCAATTTATCGCCCAGTCCAAGTTGAACATTTTAAAAACAGCAGTCTGTTATGCACCTGTGTATGCGTATTGAACCAGGACCCACAACGCCTCAGGGTCCACCCCTTCCATCTTCACTTCGTCCTGCTTGGCCTCCCGCACATCGCTGGTGAACATGGCCGCAAAGTAGTCAGACACAGATGAGAGAACCAGTCTGAGGGAAGAGAAAAAGGGCATCAGTCAGAGGAGATGGGCAGCTGTAATTGAGGAACAGACAGATCTGACCTTGATGGCAGGATGAATCTGGTGTGAAAGAGAAAAGCTGCAGAACAGAGAGGGAAAGGTCAACCTAGAGACTGTAACGCGAGGAGACGAGACACAACATGACAAGCCCATAAGCAGAGCTTCTGAAGGCCTTTTGTTTCCGGTATTTTCTACTGTAGGGTAGGAATATGATGTCTTACCCAAGTACACATACACCTTGAACATTTTCACTTTTTGCCTTGCTACAACATCAACCTTCTGTGTATCCAATCCATGTATCTGATAGATCAGCAAAAGTGCATTTATAGTTTTCAAGTCCAGATGTTAGTACCTGAATCTCAGTATTAATGCAGCTCTTCAGTGAAGGCCTCAGAGGTTTGTTAAAGAACACTGATGAACAAACAGCAACATGAAAAACCGAGGAGCACAGCACAGCAGACAGGTCAGGGATATAGTTAAGGCAGGGATAGGCTCTAAAACAAATCTCCAAAGCAATAAACATTTCAAAGAGCCCTGTTCAGTCCACCATCTGAAAATAGAGTACGTCATAAACGCAAACCCACCAGAATACGGTCATCCACCTAAATAACAGGCTCGACAAGAAGAAGAATCAAGGGAACTGCCAAGATACCCATTGTAACTCTGCACAAATCTGGATCTCAGGCTCACGTCCATCTGTTATAAGCCCCAGAAATCTTGTCTTTTATAAAGCCACTGAAAAATACAAGCCTCTCATGGGAGAGCAATAAGTGGAAAAAGTTGCTCTCTGGTCACATGAGACTGTAGTGAAATTTTTGTCCCTCATGCAAATTGCTATGTATAATGGAAAACAAACCATGGCACCACACTAATCACAAAAACCCATCAATGAAGCACAGTGATGGCAGCGTTAAGCTGTGGAGACTTAGAACTGAAAATGCACTGTGTATAATTACACTGTGTATAATTATCCAACTTCTTGACAATTACACAGTACTTTATGTTGGTTTTTCCACATAAAATTTTAAATAAAATAACAATAACGTCTGTGGTGGTAACGAAAGAAAATAAAAAACAGCAAGGGGTGTGAGTACTTTTTCAATGCACCAACTCAGCTTATCCAGTATGATTTCACTGCTTTAAAAAAAATTAAATAAAATATAAGCAAAGCCTCTGATTCCATAGAAATCCAGGGGGACTAGTTAATGCCTGATTAAGAAATGATGCATTGTTGTGTATTTTACATGTTTGACCTAAAAACGAGTCCAAAGAAACATGTTTTCTTCCACAACTTCAAAGTCGGAAAGTGTGCGCCACAAATAGGGGTGAAGGACAAGTTAAGTAGAACAGGCCTCAGGGGGATAAGTGCTGTACGACTGAAGAAGAGTGCTGTGCAAAAGAGCGGAAAAATCACACCTCCGCCCTCAGGAGGACTCTCAGGCTTTTCAATCCCTTTCTCCCCCTACATTTGAATATTGATCAGCGCACTCCTATGGATGTGAGTACTTATTAAAAAAAGATTATTTGATAATGAAAACAATCATAACTTGCAGAGTGGCTCCCACAAGGCAACTGTGCTCATCTAAATGCAGCTTACTGTGCCTTCACCGCTTATGCTCATGACCGCACGCGTTTTAGACTTCATGGAGAGTTGAATATGTGTGCATGCACTGTGTGTGTGTGCGTGCATGTGTGTGTGCATACCCTTGCACATGAAAATAATCTCATTACTGAGAGTGACACTGAGACCTTGACAGATAGCCTGAAGCAAGGTGTGTGTGTGTATGTGTGGTCCAGGTTTGCGCTGTGCAGACAAAGATGTCAAAATACACTATAGTCAGCAGGTAGTTGCTCAGCCAAAATTTCAGACAGGTGTTTCTGTTCTTCTCTTTCTGACTCACACACTCACAAATGCACATTTAATCTGTATGTGGGTCTCTGACTTGCTACGAGCGACACGAGCAGTGTACACACATCAGCTGGTTATTTGCACACAAACACAAATACGGGTCGCCGCTGACGGCACAGACAGGACGGTGGGACTTTGCGTCACAATACAGTAAAAGAAAAACAGATGAAACAAAATGGCAGAGAGAGGAGAGCAGGAAACCGGCGAGCTGACTTCAGGAAAGGTGGGCAAGAACTGAAAACTGACATTTCGTCTGTGTTTCCCCTCCTGCACCAAACTGCAAATTCACACTCAAACAGGGAAGGGAACAAAAAAACACAACAAGCAAGTCATGAGGGACTGACTTGAGTCTTGTGACTTTTCTTGCTGCATGTACTGAAATATGTACGTTTACAGGAAGGCCAGCTGTTAGTCATGATGACTGGCATGACTCAAGGTATCGAAATATGTGAGCCTGTCTGGCAGTCCTCTGAACTGCCAATTTGATCCAGATTAAAACTAATCTCCTGCAGAGCCACATTTGAGGGTAATCCTTCAACAGCTAACAGACAGATAATCGTAAATCTACAAAATGTACTTCTGCTAAATCAGTCAGCTGTCTTTGTCAAATTAAAGAGCAGCAGTGAACCAAAACGTTGATCTAAGCAAGCAAGATTTCAAAACCACACTATTTATGTTTTAAATGATTGTATATTTCTGTAAAGACAAAATACACAATAATTTTAAAAGAAATGGAGGTATTCCTAATGAAAGTGAGGCATGTCCCGGTTTGATCCCAGTTATCAACTTGGTGTCCGGAAAAAAAAAAAAAAAAAAAAAAAAAAAGATCGGTTTTAGACTCTCTGATCGAGTCTCCCTTGCCACAACCCCAGGAAGCAATGCAGACATTGTTTAAAAGTCTGACTATCTTTCATGTGCACAGCAGGGAAATCTTTTTTAAAGCCCATGCATATTATTCTGCTGATATAACAAATCTGCATTCTTCCTAAAAACCCAAGTGTTTTTTGCAGTTTGTGATGATGCTGACAGTGAAAGAGAGACTACGTTGGCCGCTGTGGTCTCTGTTTTGTCTGTGTATTATTGCTTTCCTTGGATTGTGCTCTGATATTCCCCGCTGTCTATGAGAGAGCAGGTAAAACTTTAGCCATTAAACTTAATATGATGCTCAAAGAGAAATGAGAAGTTTACTCAACAGAAGAAAAGTTTTCAGTATGAGCTTTGTCCACAAACAATTTATTGAAACTGGCTAAAATATGCTGAATCCAGTTGTTAATGAGTAATATCAAAACAAAGTGGAAACAGGCTAATGTTAGTCTAGCACTTCAGCAGAGTTGGGTTATAATATTTAACGTCATACTAAAGAATGTGTAATATAAAATGCAATTTTGGTTTTCATTGGTCATTTTAATGAGCACTGAAGGCTCAACACTGAGCTGAACACACATAGAAAAAAATCCCATAACTGCATTTATTTTTCTTTACCTGTGGACAATCTTTGTATTTTTGCATGTTGTGTTGACACAAAATATGTTTTAATGTGCACATAAATTGAATTAATGACTAAATAAACACCCTTTGGGAAAGATGTCCAATTCCTGCATTCTTACTCAGAGACATAACAGAGAGCGCACAAATCTCACCAACATCTTCAGAGGCATAAACACACTTTTTCACAAACACCATTAGAGCATGGGTCTTTGTCACCATCTGTGCCTGGAGGACATAATTAAATGAGGCAGAGGCGGAGACAGAGAAAGGTGGTGTTCCTGCTGGTGAAGGAGTTCTTTTGGACCCTGCTGTTACATCATTGGCCAAAGGAGCTACAGAGACAGCCGAGGGATATGGACCAGAAGCATTTGTGTATATGGTGACTGCTGCATGACTCAGCTGACTTTTATAGACTCGGTGTGGAGGTAAAACAGGAGTTCTTAAGAGCATGAGGCTCCTGCAGCCGGTCAAAGCCTTCTTTAGCCTTTTCTGTGATTTCTGTATGCATGTTTGTCGATACACTGTTTCTAGATACTATATACAATACATTCATACCCTATGATAGTATCCTTTTACATTTTGTCATGTTACAAACACAAACTTCAACATATTTTATTAGGGGTTTACACTAAAATGAAATGGGGCATAAATATGAAGTGGAAGGAAAAGGACAAAAAAAAAACCCAGAGACTTATTTTTTCCATTAAATCTCAATAAAATGCACTGAATTTGTAGCTGCAAAGCACAAAAGTTCAAAGGTATAAAAAATCTTGTAAGGCGTTGCATGAACTACTTTTAATGTCAGAAAGGTTTCCTTGAAAATAGCTAATGCTTAGTTTGTGTTTTATACCTTTCTGATAAAAAATAATCTTTACTGTGTAAACAAAACTCTTCGAACAAAAATAGATACCTGTGTGCAGGTATCCGTCGGTCTCCAGCCACCAGAATGACGTCACACAGCTGCCTCGTCCTCAGGTAGCCCTCCATTTTGCGGAAGGTGACATCAGCATGAGATAAAGCGGTAAACATGGACTCCTCTGGACAGGTGCACGGCTCCATGGACACGCACGAGGAGAGGGTTGCACTGCTGTTAGATGTCCTGTGGGCACACATGCAAGCAAAGAAAAAATGTTAAAAGTAAAATCAGCACAGAAAGCAACAAATAAAATGGAGTGAAGAATTGTATGAGCTCTTTGCTGATTCTACTTTGTTTGAGAACCAAACAGCAGAGTGGAGGGATCCACGCCAGCTGGTCTGTGGCTTTGAGGTCAACGCATTTTCCTTTGCACCATTTCCTCACATGTAGTCACTCTTCTGCAGGCTTACCATATGTTGCCAGGAGCATACAAAAGCTCTTTAATGGTCCAATTACCGGCTGTAAATGGCCAGATAAATTCAGCCCACTTAGAAGGAGAACGTGACAATTAATTCACTGCAGGAGCTGAGCCCATAGGATACGCTGTGATTTACTTTACCCGTTCCCTTGCATCTATTCCAACAAAAGGTTTTCTACCTAGAGACCTCATTTTCAAATTCTAGGAACGGTTTTATTTTCTGATCAGACGCTGAGCAGGCATGGGTGTTTGACTGCACAACACTGCAGCAACTCTGTGAAATATCAGCCATGGTGGCTTTTAAGAGCGACATAAGCCATGCTGTGCATCGGTTTGAAATTCGACAGGCGAAGAGAAAGGAGAGACCCCGAAGCATAAAAATACTCACCAAAAAACCCCGACATAAGGGACAAAACAATTTCAGCAACACAGTTAGGAGAGTAATGACACTCTGGCACATCTGAAGAGTACAAGTGTGAATCTGACTACAGCAATGGATGTTGGAAATTACTGAGTCACATGCTGCTATTTTCTCCTCGGATGAAACAAAAAAAAGGGGCTCAATGGAGCAAAATAGAAATCAAGTCTTAAAAAATCAGGACTGTACCAGATCCTTCAAACTGTACTACATAGCGCGCTCGTATAATTTATGGTTACATTCTTTTGATTAACAACTTTACACATTTGCAATTCTATTAAAAATATATCAAATATCTCTACCTACTTATTATTTATTGTTTTAAATGTAGTTTCCCTCGTAATGAATAGCAGATTTCTATGAGCCATTACTTCTCCGGATCAAATTACCTTCACTATGAAAGACAGCAAAATGTCTGACGAACCCTTAAATTACCCCCAGCCTCTCTTGATGCTCTCAGCTCGGTGGAAGTGACATGTTGTGTTTCTGCCGCAGAATTTATGCATTTTCCTTTGGAACCAGCTCTGTCTGTGTTTACACAAGTTCAAGAACTTACCAAATGGTGTGCTGGCTGTTCATCATAGCAACTGCCACCTACTTCAAATCATATCAATGTATATAATTAGTCTCATAAAAAAAAAGCAGGTCCGCAAACCTGTATCAGTTACACCAGTTCTGT